AATTGGATGCCAGGTACATGAAGATGCAAGGGGTTTTAGTGGGGGATGAATACTGGTAAAGAACGTCTACAGTTTTCCCATTTAGTGGAGTGTCACCCAAATAAATCATGACCTTACAGGTTGCAGAATAAGTGCTGTAACAGGAGCTTCACCCCAAGGAGCCCAGAGTCAGGAGGAGCTGCAAGCACTAGTGCTGGTTGGCCCATGAGAGGCGGTAAATCAGTATGTTCACGTGTGACAACATCTAGCCTTCCTTCCTAACGATGCTTCCACAGCATCTGATGTAATGAAACCTAATGAGGATTCAGAATAATCTCCTTATGCTCTATGTGGGTCAACAGAATAAATGTTTATGTCATTTTAATTTCTGATGCGTGGTTCACACAAGACTTTATAGAAATACAAAAACCAGGAGGGATTTTCTTTTAGGAAATTATTTTAGTCTCTTTTTAGGTTCTATAAGAGACAGAAAACGAAAATAGCTAAAATAAGATTCAAGGGTAAGGTGATTGCCGGCTACACTGAAAACAGCAAATTATTATTATTTTTAAAACAATATGGTCCAACACATTGTTTTCCGGTTAATTTTTAAACCCACAAGAATTTTAAGGGAAATCAAATGCATATAGTTCTGACTCATTTACACCCGTGACTCTGCAATATGTTGTTTTAAACAAATCATTGACTGTCCAAGAAATCTTCTTGTTAAATGATGAGAGGCGCATCATTGAACAGCCAGAATCTCAACTTACACAAACTTGAGTTTAACCAGATATGTGGAACCTGCAGTGCCCAGCAAATCCCAAAGCGGTGGAGATAGGCTCTTGTGCAACCTTTAAACATGACGTGGGTTTATTCCAGAATAACACAAACATGCCAGAGCTAATCAGGTCCCACTCAATTCAAGAATACGACAAAGCTTCAACATATCTATTTAAAAACCCCAATAAAATGAAATTTCATTTCTACCAGTTCAGTTTCTTCACATCTAATGTTTTATTTTTGGCTTTCTGGCCTAGAGCTGATGGGAATTCTGCAGAGCTATCCATTTTCAGAAAGAAACAGTTTCAAAAAGTTTCTGTGACTGAGAAGACACAGCTAAGAATGGTAAGAGGTATTTCCAGGGGTTCTGCCTTTAGCAGACAGTAACCTGCCTCTGGTGTGCGTGTGTGTATGTGACAAACAAATGGGAAAAATGAGAACCTTAGTTAAGTTGAGGCACAAAGAAGCCCGAGTTTCTCACAGCCAGACCAAACAGGAGTTGGCTAGAGGCCCTGGTTTTCAGGAGCAATTTGGCTTTGACATCACCATCCTATAAGCTATAAAAGCATTTGGAAAAACAAACAAGCAAGACCAGAAAATTCACAGACGAACAAAAAGTTGAATTCCTCCAAAGAGAATGTTACAATACCATGAGGTGACAGGGGAAAAACATTCCTCAAGGGCATCAAGCTCCTAAGCACTTAATTCCTCAAGATTTTTGGTATAGACAAATCTCATGACTGGGAGGAACACAATGAGCCTGTTTCATGTCCACTTCAGTCTTTAGAATTAAGTAGTCATTACCCAGGCAGTCCACTAAGGCCTTCATAAAACTCCAACTTAAGAGCAGAGTACAGTTTTTGGAAGAAAACTACCCTGAGCAGAGGGAAATGTTTAAATCTGGCCAGGAAGGACTTCTTCCCTCCATTAACTGGGAGATCTTTCAAGTCCCACCTGCTGCTTGAACTGCAAGAGTCGGTTGAGTGTTCTTAGACTTAGATGCTTAGCTTCTGTGTGAACACTTAGCAGAAAAGCTGAGCATGTTTTTCTCTACTTCCCCCTTCCCTCTGACTCTCCCATTGCCAAGGTGGCTGGCAAGAGCTTCACAACCTAACTTTGACTTCTTGGTATGTACTACCCTGAGATATATCTTTTTTTTTTTTTTTTTTTTTTGAGACGGAGTCTTGCTCTGTCACCCAGGCTGGAGTGCAGTGGCGCGATCTCGGCTCACTCCAAGCTCCGCTCCTGGGTTCATGCCATTCTCCTGCCTCAGCCTCCCAAGTAGCTGGGACTACAGGCACCCGCCAGCACGCCCGGCTAATTTTCTGTATTTTTAGTAGACACAGGGTTTCATCGTGTTAGCCAGGATGGTCTCAATCTCCTGACCTCATGATCCACCTGCCTCGGCCTCCCAAAGTGCTGGGATTACAGGCGTGAGCCACCGCGCCCGGCCCCAGATACAACTTGTATTGCAGTCTTGCCTTTCTTTTAACCAAGTGCTAGAATTCCAAAAAACTCACTTGAAAAGGATGGCTTCCCTTAAGTGGGCAATATTTATAATTATAATCACTAGGGGTTTGAAATTTATTCTAACAATAGGGTTTCTGAACCAATACACAGATAATGGAACACATTAATAACTAGGAAGAGAGGCAGTAATTCATGCCTGCCATTCTGTACCCACATGCTAAATGAAAGCCTGCCAGAGAGCACCATCCAACCTTCTGCCTATTTTTGCACCTATTGTTATACCTGTTCACTGAGCTCTGGGTTGCAAGGTGAGATGACGAATATGTTCAAACCTTAAGTCATTATCTAATCCCAACCTCCTCCTGCTGCATTTTATTGGTAAAGGGTGATCATCCATCCAGCTGCTCCAGTCACATCCCTTTCTCTCACTGCCATTATTCAACTGGTCCACCAAGTCCTACTAATTTATCATTTGTTTATCTGTCCCCTACTCTTCCTCGCTATTTCCACTGGCTTAGTTCATGACCTCTCCATCTCCTCCCCAGATACTGTACTAACTAGTCTAACTAAATACCTGTACTAACTAGTCTAACTAAATACCTGCTAACTAGTCTCCTTGCTTGTAGGATAGGCCCTCATGAATTTCTCCTCTGTTCTGCCTCCCAAGTTAGCTTCCTAAATATGTGCCTTGGAAACAAATCATACTCATAATTTGAAGAAAACATTGGTGAATATTATTATAACCTGGGAGGGTAACAAGTATTTCTAAGCAGGACAGAAAACCTAGAAGGCATAAATATGGTCACTTAAAAACATCTTCTAGAAAATAAAGAACAAAGATTAAAAACAACTGGAGAAAATATCTGTGACATATGTATGTGGGGGACATGCTAATTTACTTAATAAAAGAATTTTTACAACTCACTAAGAAAACAACCTAACTATAAATTTGAAATAACATCTTGAGTCCATCCCTTGGCCATACTAGGAGAGGAAAAACTAATGTAAATAATTATAAAGCTGTGAAGGCACAAAGTGTCCCGCAAACATTAGGTGTAAGAAAAATGGTTAGGTATCACCATTACCAAACCTGCTTCAAATGCTCTGCCTGGATTCAATTACACTACATATCGACACTGCGATCCTTTAAGCAGTTGAAAAATGCCTCTGGTCTCTTGTTTTTGCCTTCAGAACACAGTGGAGCATATTTGCACAGAACAAATAATTCCCTGTCAAGCTGGAAGGGCCTCTTTGCTTGATAATTGATGTTTCAGCTTTTAGCCAGAAGGTTAAAGTCTTTCTGAAGAACATTTCTGAGTTCACGCAGCACTAAACCCTATTACTCCATTATTCCATACCAGCCTTGGTTGGGAGGCCAGAACAATGCCCCTGAGGTGAAACTGACTGGCTTTTCCATTTTGACCTGAACTAAGTGATCAAATTATGTCCCCTGACAAGAAGGCAAAGTATCCACAGAGTGCACAACACTGGCATTGCTGACATACCCGCCAAAGACACTAACTATACCTAGGCATGCGGTCATCCAGAAGGAACGTGTCATGATCCTAAACGCAAGTAGTAAAGACAATTCACCTTTCAAATGAAACCGAGGTGAGATCTATTGCACCCACGGGAAGAGATATAAGATAAATTTTGTTACAAAACCAAGTAATTCAAAGTGCTGATATAGCCTTTTATGTGAATCTGCAACATGGGCCAATCATCTGAGACCACAAAGGTATCCCAGGCAAAAGCCCTAGACAGTATTAGTGTCCATTTGCAAAAAATTGAATTTAAAAAATAGAGCTAGTATTAATAGACAGAATGCAATCATGAATCAATCTGGGGGACACACAGGAGGTTAAACCTAACCAAACAGTATTGGAAATTAGAAAATTTAACCAATTATTTTTCAGTCTTTAAAATGTAGGGCTTCATTGAGGAACCCACACGTCAGAAGACCACTATCATAAGACAGACGGCTAGTGTCTGAATACATTACTTTTTGTTGTTCTAAATTGTCTTAACTTTGTGAGCACTTACTCATAATCTCATTGAGAATTATGATATAGATATGAATTCAATTTTCATAAAAAGACAGTTGGATTTTAAAATTTCTGGCTAGTGCAATGAATCTGTAGAAATTCAAACCTTGACCAATGGTTTCTCAAAATCCATTTGATTCTATCATTTGCCTCTGCTAAAATTAATAAAATATTCTCCCAATAAATCAAGGCTTACAAAGCAACTGTTCATTATTCCTGGCTGAAATGGGCTCAGTGACTTGTGGAAATGAGTGTCACACATGGAGATATATAATGCGATCACTCAGATAGCTTGCACACTGGCAAGGGGCAGCCAGTCTAGAACTCCACAACCTACACGAAGACAAAACCTCCCTAGAGAGAACCAAACCCCATCACTAGGCCGCCTTCCATTTTCTGAAGAAAAAGGGTTGTAACTTATCTGAAGTAGTGAGTGCCAGGACATGCTGTGATGTTGCTATTGCTTGAAGGGTATTATAGAGGGACAGAAAGAAACTGTAGGTCAGAGGGACAGAATAAACATTACTAAAGCAACACAGAGTGACCTCAGCTTTGTCTTGGGTAGACCTAGGAGGGCCTCATCTGAGGCCAATAGGTTGTATGCTAAATTAACAAACAAAAAGCAAACAGCACAAAACCCACTTGAAACTAATATGATTCATCCCTCAGGCCCCCGTTTTTAAACAAACAAACTTTGAGATAAATAAATAAGTGGAAACTCACTCTGGGAAGCATAATGCCCCTCTGCAGCTTTGTCTTCGTGCCCTTCGTATTCCCTGCTGGAGAGCTGCCTGTTGGCAGTCTCTAGTCGATCTATGAACAAAGAGGAAATGATTACAAAGAAATGTATATGGATTGAAGTTATCATTTAACCAAGAAATGAAATAGGTGCCAAGAGCTGGGGAGGAAGAGATGCTCAGGCAGGAGCTCAAAACTGAACAACTTGGGGACAGACAGTAACTACGTCCCAAAATATCAAAAGAAAAGGCTTCAGATGCCACAGTGTGTCTTTATGCGACCTAAAGACAAATGACGTGCACCAGCAGCATGCAGCTAGGGACAGGTGCTGAGAAAAACCACCTCACTGCCTTCAAGGCCAGCAAACCTGATTTGAAGTGTTCACAAAGACAGTCTCCTTGGCCTCAAACCCAGCCCTACTCTAATCTTGATCATCACCTATATATTTTAGCCAGTGACAGCTCTCTGTATCTTAGAATCAAAGAAATAAAAATAACAAATACCAAAAAAAGTCAAAATGACCTAATGTACGAAGACTGTACACAGCAACTTCTATGTTTGCTCAAACCACTTGGTAAATCTTTCATTATTCAATAAATAATCCAACTCAACTAGTATTCACTGGATGCAGATGACACCCAACCCAAAAGAGTTTGTAGCAAGAGAAAAGGTGGGATCTAGCTACTGGGTACTACCAGGACATGGAACGTTTTGACATATGAAGCAACTGAAGATGGCTTGGCTGAAGGTAAAGTAACATTTATAGGTTAACTCATTGTGCACATTGGAGATGGCCAAAATCCAACAGCAGGTGACTCCTATCTTTCAGCGAGTTTATTGTCTACTTATTTCACAACTGTGGGGATTTTTTCCCCCAGAAGGAAAATATGTCTAGCTCTGTCTTCTATGGTCCACCTAGCAATAGTTAAGTGCCGCTTTTCAAAGCGCGCTACCAAATGACAGCCCCATGTGGAAAGGGTTGTGCGTCTAACATTGATCTTTTCAAACATTCAGATTCTCACAGCCATGAATCGCGGTTGAGTACTTTTAAAGCAAGAAGGAGCCACAAACAGAATCCCTTCCTTTGACAGACTCATGCATACAGGCTGTCACTTCCAAAGCTCGATGCTGCAATATACAAACCACAAGGCAGAAAAGAACAATTCTGCTTTTTCAGCACCTCCTCCCTTCCCCAGATGGTTGAAATAGACAACAGGCAGACTAGCACCTGTGGCAAAGTATTCTGGCCCCAAAGTTGTGCTTTTAGCTACACAGGTAGTTTAGGTAGAGAGAACATGAATCAACATGCCTCGGAGGTCTCTGTTGAAATCATGAAGTCTTCTAATCTCGCCTTCCAATTTGTTTCTCATCGCCTTGTCCAGTGACTCTCGCTTGGTGGTAGACTTGACCAGACTTTCATAGGCTTCCGAAATTCTCTGAAGTTCTTTTTCAAACTAAAAGAAAGAACTGGCATTAAAGTGGCACCTTTGACATTCATGCTGGCGTCCTGGTAAAACGGATTCTTAGACATTGCAGGGTGAAGGCTGTATCTTCAATGCAGTCTTTCTGCATCTGAAGTTTCATGTGTACCAAATTGTATAATAGATTTCACTCCCCCACCTGCTCTCCAAAGACTACCTTAGGATCCTGTAAATTACAGGCTCACAAGTCTGGCCGAACTGTCTGATGTCACCTTGTAAAAGTCTCTCTGTACCAATATTAGAAAGGGGTAAATCTAAACATAACTTAAATCTCTTACACTTTTAATGGCAATTTATAGCTATTATGATTATTCCCAGTTAACATCAGGAAAATATTAAAGTACAAAAAACCTAAAGGACTATAATTAGAACCCAAGTTTCCAGACTCCAAGTAGAGTGCACTTTCCAGAGACACTCCTATCTGTCCCCAAAGGAACGTAAAATCCACTGGAGGAAAGGCTTCATTACCTAGTATTTTTATTCCTTTGTCTATGAAATTATCTATATGGCAGACTGCTCACGCCTGTAATCCCAGCACTTTGGGAGGCCGAGGTGGGTGGATCACCTGAGGTCAGGAGTTTGAGAACAGTCTGGCCAACATGGTGAAACCCCGCCTCTACTAAAAATACAAATATTAGCCAGGCATGGTGGTGGGTACCTGTAACCCCAGCTACTTGGGAGGCTGAGGTGGGAGGATCGCTTGAGCCTGGGAGGCGAAGGTTGCAGTGAGCAAGATCACGTCACTGCTCTCCAGCCTGGGCAACAGAGTGAGATTCCATCTCACAAAAAAAAAAAAAAAAGAAAAAAAAAGGATTAATGGACATGTACCTAATCATAAACAAATATATCACAGAATCACAGAAAATCTCTTTATATTCAGCACTTGATAGCCAAGAAATTAAAACCATTAAAAAAAATATTTCACTAAATCACAAACTAACTGGGGAGGCCTTTAATCTATGGCACATATAAATTGATAACAAGTAGCTCTATTCTAACAGGAGTTTGATATAACAGTCTGGTTTTGATGTAGATATCAATAAATCCCATTGTATTGTCATAAATGCAAGAGAAAGGGTAAAGACCAGGTGAGGGTGCCTGCAAACATGGACGGATGCTTGATGAGATGCTGCTAAGGTCAGAATCAAAGGCAAAACTGATGGGGTTGAAAGCACTAGCGCCCTTCACTGGGTCCCAGATCAGAGCCATGTTTTCAGTGCATCCACAGGACAGCAATGGCACCAGGAGCCAGGGACCCTCTTTTCTGAGCCCCAACTGCCCGGATCAGAAAGTCCCTGCCAAGACTCCTATAAATAATATATATCCAAACAAATATTCATTGTTTGCTTACATGTCAGGTGTTTTTCCAGATGCTAAGGATACAGAAATAAGGAAGGCAATTCCTGGTCTTTAGGAGCTAAGAGTCTCAAGTTGGCCTGTAAATATTTCAGAGAAATGGTAGTCCAGGGATGAGGGCAAGGTAGAAGTGGCAGGAGGTAGGGCCAAAAGGAAGGACTTTAAATTATGGGCAGGGGAGGCTTAGTGGGGGTGAGAGGTACTGGGGAAGGAAGATTCTAACTCTGATCTCATCCAAGTTCTCATAGAGACAAAACTAACAGATGGGGTTGGAGGGTGGGGGTTTGTGAGAGAGGAGGTAGAAGAGATATCCAGGTAAAAAGCTTATGTAAATAGCTCAATGACAGATGACAAGGGCCTGAACTATGACACTAAAAGGGCAAATTCCAAAGACACTAATGAGTAGAATCAGCAGGTTTTGGTGACTGGGTGCAGACAGTAAGGAAGAAAGCAAGCAAGTACAACATAAACATTCACAGCTTAGAAGATGGGGTAAGGAGACTTAACCAAGACAGATGATTATAAGAGAACCAAGCTCACTAAAGAAAGAAAAGCAGTCTGGGTTTGGAGATACTATGTTTGAGGAACCTGATGCACATATTGGCGAAGATTTCCAGTTAGGAGGTGAACATACAAGTCTAAAAGCCAGGAGAGTGGCTGGGGTGTCCTCAATGTACAGATGACAGATGACATCAGAAAGCAGAGACCACTCAGGGAGATAAACAGAAGATTAGAGGGCCAAAAAGGCATTCACACCAAAGGAGGGGAGGGGCACCAGGGAAAAAGACTGAAGCTAGTGGACCCGTAGGAGCCTAGAAGCCAAAAACTTAAAAAAATGAGAGATACTGTGGTCAGCACCCTCAGAGGTTACAGAGCAGCTAGGATATAGTTGAGAAGAGGCTGATGAATAGGCTGGAGGGCACGAGGGCTTCTGCTTAGCAGCAGCTAACTAGAGCTGAGCTGAGAAAACCAAGGCTCCTTTCGGTACCACCTTATGTTCCCAAAGGCCTCCTTATACCAGAGTTGGTACCTCCCTGGTCCCCTCATTTCAACAAGGCCTTTCTGATTCGTCCACAGATATCATGAACCGCTGGTAATGCAGCAGCACAGAGGACAGTATGTCCTAAATCCTGTTCATAGCCTTACCATGAATTATGATCCTGTCTTCAAATTTTATTTACCAAAGAGATGGCTCCCAGACACACTCACACCTCTTTGCTGATTTTATCTATAAAAGGTGGCCTTTGCTTTCAGACAGCTGGGCATGTCACAGGAACAGTCCCCATCAAGACCAAAGGGTATCTTCAAGTCACCAGGGAAGCTGAGAGTACCACACACTCTGAGGCATCCACCATGAGTGGTGTTCGGGCTTCCAGCCCAGAACAACTAGCGATGCTTCCTTAACTACACCCACAGGGACCCTTCCCTTGGTCTGATTTTATAGTATTTTTGACCTGTTGTATTTCCCTCATTGGAATTCTAATCTGCATCTATACTTTGCAGCTCTGATTCGACTGCTAACTCCTTGAGGGTAGAATAGCTCTTACTGTCCTAGAACTATGCCTTGCCCATAACAAAATACTGACTAATTAATCTTTAAATGTGTAACTTCTACAGACAGACTTGGACGCTGAATCATGCATTCTTTCCTTTTACTCAAAGAACTTCCCTCTGCATACTGTCAAAGGAAACTTCAAGATCCCTACCACGATATAGTTTACCATCTCAAATCCTAAAACAATCAAGACCTGACATATGGTTATGTGCTTAGAAGGGACCTAGAGAAAAAAACAAGGGTCTTAGTTCAGAACAAGGTAACTCCTATGAGAACTGATAGCTGTAATGGTAGAGAAAGACTAATCTCCTTCAGTGCGTGCTATGGATATGGTTTGTCCCCACCAAAACTCATGTTGAAATTTGACCCCCAGTGTGGTGACACTGGGAGGTGGGACCTAGTGGGAAGTGTTTGGGTCATGGGTGTGGGTCCCTCATGAATGGCTTGGTGCCTTTCTCGCAGTAGTGAGATTAGATTGGATTTTGCAGGAATAGATTAGTCCCCATGACAGCAGGTTGTTACGAGGAAGGACGTGCTCTTCAAGTTTTGCCTCTTTATACACGTCTGCTTCCCCTTTGACCTTCTGCCACGTTGTGACACAGCATAAAAGCCCTTGCTGGAAGCCAAGAAGATACCAGTATCATGCTTTTCAAAATTCCCAGCCTGCAGAATCATGAGCTAAATAAATCACTCCTCTTTATAAATTACCCAGTCTCAGTTATTCGATTATAACAACACAAAAGGGAATAAAAAAGTATGGTTGCAGAGGACAGAGTTATGAGTAAATATAGGAAGTTAAATATATGCATGCTTTTTTGGTTTTTGTTTTTTTGACAGTCTCACTCCATCACCTAGGCTGGAGTGCAGTGACACAATCTCGGCTCACTGCAAACTCCACCTCCTGGGTTCAAGTGATTCTCATGCCTCAACCTCCAGGGCAGCTGGAATTACAGGGGTGCATCACCATGGCTGGCTAATTTTTGTATTTTCTTCTTTTTTTTTTTTTTTTAGTAGAGATGGGGTTTCACCATGTTAGCCAGGCTGGTCTCGAACTCCTGATCTCAAATGATCCACCTGCCTTGGACTCCCAAAGTGCTGGGATTACAGGCGTGAGCCACCGCACCCGGCTGAGATGCAGATTTTGACTCAACATAAAGAAGTATTTCCTAACTACATTTTCCAGAAGTGTAGTATACCCATTAGTGAGCTTCTCTTCTCTGGAAGCATTCAAGTAAAAGATGAACACCTCCTTTCAGAGAATGACACAAGGATTACTAAGGAATGGGAAGTTGAAGTAGACTCATTTCAAGAATTTTAAGACTGAAGCTTTTTATTTCTGACTGTACACTCCTTCAGAGTAAAACCACACCTTCTTCTTTCTATTTCTCCATGTTCAGAACATCTTAAGCACCCTCTGATATTTGTTAAAGATACAGGAGGGTTAGATAGGCTGGTTTGACACAAAAACTATCCAGAGCAGCTCAGACTCTGAGTACAGTGCAGGAGGGGAATCCTGGTTTACCTTCCCAGCTCTCATTCTCCTTTTTGGCCTAGGTGTCAGGGAGCTCTTAGGCCAGGCCGCAAGAATCCCTGCAATCACAGAAATACACTCGATGTCCCAGAGACAGAACTACAAGCAGAGCAGAAAATAAGCAAATGGACAGAGAAGTCCCTGAGAAAATCTCAGCCATTCCAAGCTCCAGATACTGTTTTTTTTTGCTGAGCACCTTCACGTGTAACACTCAGGATGCGCAGGACCAAAGAAAGGCATGCTGTGCAAGCCACGGACTGCCCAATCAAAGCCACCTTTGTTTCACTCACAAAAGAGGGTCTTCACTAAAGCAAGCCTGGGGTAACTTAATGCTTGGCCCTCTCCCATCATATGCCCGTCTATTCCCTGATGGCTTTCGAGGCCAACCCACTCAACAGCCCACAGTCTGGCCCTGGTAGAGACTCCATCGTTAATTAAGTTTCAGAGAAACTGGGAGGAAAAAAATGCAAAAAACATAACCAAAAGGAAAGACTGAAAACAACAGCTCTTTCTGGGGGTCCTTGACCATCATTCCAACATTAACAGTGATAATCACTACCTTGTGCCTCTTTGGAAACAGGGTCTTCATATCTAGGCTGGGATTTGACAGTCTCTGAATTTAATCATTCTCTTCTGCCATGTTCCTGGCACAGTATGCATAGGCTAAACTCTGCAATTAAAAATTCATCTATTTTTAGTTCTGCCCTTACAATGCATCTCTGCAAGGGCCAAAACATTCTCAATGCTGCGAGGAACTCAGATGGGATCAAACTGTGGGCATAGAGGGGTCATATCCTACAACATCGTGCAGCAGGCCTACCCAAAACAGGGGTCACATCCATGCCAGGAGAACTGGCAGCTATCATCCCTGAGAAGCAAAGCTGTCACCTCATCTGACCACCCTCTCCCCAGACCTAAGGCTCAGGCAGCTGCTAAGAACGCTGAGTGACAAAGCTGGGGATGAGGGAGGATCTGGGACTAGGGTGACCTTAGGAACGCAAGGCCCAATACGTCACGAAGTTCATGCAACTCTTGTGTCTCTTGATCCTTGTTGTAAAGAACAGCAATCCAGCTTGTGATAAACATGGCAAGTACCCATCAAAATCTGAGGTTTTGGATCGATAATTCCGGTTTTACATATGACAGATTAATGTAGTACAGTAAGTCCTCATGTAACATCATTGACAGGTTCTTGGAAACTGCAACTTTAAGTAAAATGACACATAGCAGGCCCCCAAATAACATCAGTGTTTTCAACTTCATTTCATTGTGATGTTGATGAGGAAAAAATTGGCTTTGCTTAAAACTGTAGTTTCCAAGAACCTATTGATGTTATTGAGGACTTACTGTACTTGTAGAACAACTTATAACATTCAAGGGACTGAAAAAGTTTTGGGTTCACGAAGGGACACAGTTTTTGATTTGTCTCCTCTTCCAGAAGTCATCAAAATCCTTTTGGCCACAACTTTTAAGAACCATCCTTGGTGCAGGAATATTGAGACACTGGGAGATTAAACCATTCTAGTTTTCAAAATGGAAATGTGCATCAAAATCAAGAAAGATGTATGTTATAGGCCAATAAAACGTACATGTTTAATACCAGCACTTTGGGAGGCTGAGGTGGGCGGATCACGAGGTCAGGAGATCAAGACCATCCTGGCCAACATGGTGAAACCCCATCTCTACTAAAATACAAAAAAAAAAAAAAAAAAAAAAAATTAGCCAGGCATGATGGTGCGCGCCTGTAGTCCCAGCTACTTGGGAGGCTGAGGCAGAAGAATCACTTGAACCCGGGAGGCAGAGATTGCAGTAAGCCGAGATCACGCCACTGCACTCCAGCCTGGCAACAGAGTGAGACTCCATCTCAAAAAAAAAAAAAGGTACATGTTAATAAAAAGGCAATGAAAAATAACAAGACCTCCAATTTCTGCACCATTTGTGTAACTCTTCAGAAACAGCCATGGGAAAAACCCCAGCACCAAACTCTGCCTTCAAGTGGGTCTGTATAGCTTCTGGACATGTCTGCCTTGGAGCTTTATTAGGAGAGAATAAAGAGATGCTTGTTTCCCAGAAGTGCTGAGTCTGCACTTCCCAATTTTCAGATCATACTAAAAGGAAGCTGCCCAAAAATGTCAGAGGCAAGCTTGGGCCTGTACAGTGTCTTATAGGCTGAAGGCTGAGACAACACACCTATTTCCCAACTTCTAAGGGTGCAAGAGGGGGTGGGAGTGAGGCCACAATCTTTAGGCGGCCCCTGTTTGTTTCTGCCTCTCATTTTTCCCCTCCAATAAAGGCAGCCAAAGTTCCCTCAGCCAAGTCTGGTCTTGACTCCAGGGAGCTCCAGACCTTTTCAGTGGAAGCTCTGCACAAACGTGCTGGGACAAATTGTCTGTAAACATATGCGCCATCAAATCCACTGCTCCCTGACAGCCCTCAGGAAGCAAGCAGAGCCTACTACTCTAAAACTCTTGACCAGCAAAATGACCAGCTTGACCTGTGAAATCAGCACTAACTCATGAACACTAAACGGGCCAGCTGGAGCATTAACTGTCACATAGAGCCAAAGTGACAATGTTCTTGTAGTCAGGTGGGGTTTATACTCCTATACTTTAACTTTACAGAAGCTCTTTATTGCCAAGGGAAGAGCCCGCACTTACTCTTAGAGGATCACTACTACTACACATGCCTCCTCACCCCCAGAAAGGAAACTCAAGTGCTCTATGGCTGTCCTGCCCTAAAACATCCTATTACCTTTGCCCAACCCCCTTGCATCCTACCTGCAGCACATCAGATGCTGACTTGAGGGTCATCATGAAATCACTGCCCAGCAACAGCTTGTTCTTGCTGGACGTTCCCCTATTTACTTTGGCTCTCAGCATAAATCTCTAAGAATAATGGCTACCTTACATTTAAATATTCCAACAGTAACTACACAGGCTGGAATTACTCAGCATCTCCCCACCTGGTAAGTCACAAACATGTGGAAAGCACACAATAACTCGTACTCTTGACCCTCTCACGTTGAGGCAAGACTGCTTTTTGCAAAGATCAGCTAATGAAATGAACATGATAACTCAAGGTTCCTGTCTGAGATTCCTAAATGTAAAGGAAAATTTGGTATCTCTCACTTCATTTCTCTGTGGTTTTACTTATTTTTTATTTTTGAGACAGGGTCTCACTCTGTCACCCAGGCTGGAGTGCAGTGGAGCGATCTCAACTCACTGCAACCTATGCCGCCCCAGCTCACGTGATCTCCCGAGTAGCTGAGATTACAAAGCATGGGCCACCATGACTGGCTAATTTTTGTAGAGACCGGGTCTTGGCATGTTGCCCAGGCTGGTCTGAAACTCCTGGGCTCAAGTGATCCACCTGCCTCAGCCTCACAAAGTGCTGGGATTACAGGCATGGACCACCGCGCCCGGCCTCCTCCGTGTTATTTACTCTCCGTGTTCCCTCTTCTACATTTGTCCAGGTGGGGTAATCCTACTTAGCCTCAGAGTCTCTGGTCAAGAGTCACCTCTGCTGTTCCTACAGTAGACCCTTCACACTCTTACTGAAGGTGTTAGCATATGCAACTCTCTCCGCTTTTTGGAATGTAAGCTCCTCCAAGGTCGGAACTGGGTCATATTTATTTTCATCTCCCTAAAGCCTTGCAAAGGGTCTAGTATAAAAAGGGATCTAGTGCAATGTTGGCAAGTCAGTGCATCAACTCCCCGTGACCAGGTAAAGAATTTTGTCTCCCTCCCATTCCCCAGGGAAGTCACGTACCTTGTGGAGCTTGTCGGCATTGTCATAGTAACCCTGAAGTTCCTGGTGAAGCACCCGGTTCTCCTCTGTTAATATTTCCACCATTTGCTGGGCTCGCTCCACAATCGCAAAGGCATCTGGACCAAGCTGCTGGCTGGGGGAGGCAGCGGGCGGGGGCTGTGGAGCGCCCAGGGCCATCGGGAGTGGAAGCGGCAGGGAGACAGAGTGCAGCGGCCCGCTGGCGGAGGAGGTCTGGGAGGACATGGGGCTGTGCTGCTGCATGGTTGACGGGAACGGAAGTTGGCACGGGCGGCTGCAAGGCAATGGAAGGCAGCAGTTAGAGCCCGGGGAAATGGTGGGAGCAGGAAGGAAGCCCCAACAATACTGGCACTGTTGATGGCTTCCAAGGTCAGAGGCCATCAGTGCACTTCCCAGTGGGAGGTATTCACTGTGCTCCCATCTCAATCAGCACCATTCTGGCTATTGGGGAAAGAGCAACCAAGACAGATCAGGTCTCTGCTCTCAGACGTTTACATGCTAGGGAGAGAGACAGGCAAGCCACCCAACAAGAAAGCCAAGTATCAAAACTTAACAAGTACTCTCCAAAGATAAGGTGGAGTGATGTGACAGGGAATGACCCCATGGCTACTTCCTACTGAGAGGGCAGAGAAGGAGTCTCTGAGAAGGGTGGTTTGAGATGAAGTCACACTGACAGACAAGAGCCAGTGGGTTGGACGGAGCGGATAAAGAAGTGGGGAAAAGGAGTATTCTAGGTAGGAGGTGTCAGCTAGCACAGTGGTCCCCAACCACTGGGCCATGGACCAGAACCCATCTGTGGCCTATTAGGGACTGGGCCACATAGCAGGAGGTGAGAAGCAGGTGAGTGAGCAAAGTTTCATCTGTATTTACAGCCACTCCCCATGGTTCACATTACTGCCTAAGCTCTACCTTCTGTCAGATCAGCAGTGGCATTAGATTCTCATAGGAGCGTGAACCCTATTGTGAAATGTGCATGCAGGAGATCTAGGTTGTTTTTCCCTTGTAACAATCTAATGCCTGATAGCCTGTCACTGTTTCCCATCAACCCAGATGGGACGATCTAGTTGCAAGAAAACAAGCTCAGGGCTCCTACTGATTCTACATCATGGTGAATTGCATAATTACTTCATTATATATGACAATGTAATAATAATAGAAACAAAGTGCACAATAAATGTGATGTGTTTGAGTCATCCTAAAACTACTCCAACCTCACAATTGTCTGCGGAAAAACTGTCTTCTACAAAACGGGTCCTCGGTGCCAAAAAGGTTGGAAATGCTGAGCTAGCGCACAGGGCCTGAGGCAGGAATTAGCACTGGCACAAGCAAGAAGTATGAAGCACTGCCAGCAAGTAGCAGTGCAAGATAAGACTAGAGTGATGGGCAGGTGCCATGGCCAGACTTTACCTTGGAGTGTACAGAGGCCAGGGGAGGAGCTGCCTCTCCTGTGGTGTGCACAGAATGCAGTGCATGGTGGCAGGAACACACATACGGAGTCCAATGAGGCCCAGGTGTGGTCTAGGTGAGAATTGAGGAGAGCTTAGAGTAGTGGCAGAAGAGAAACACTCAGAGATTGGGATTCGTTTTGTATATATCATGGATGGGGAGGAGGGAAGTTGGGAAAATTAAAAATTACTCCTGGATTTGGGGCTCTACACAAATTGATAGGAGCACCATTTAATGAAATGAGAAGTCTTGGGGAGAAACTGATTTGTTCTGCTGAGGTGAGGAAGGTCTAGAGCTCAAGAGTCTAATTTTAGCCATGTTAAAAAGAACACATAAGGGTGTCTCTTCATGGCTCAAATACCTGGTATTAGCTCCTATTTTTGAGATCATGAATTTCCATCCCCGTTCCCATTCCTAACAATTCCATCCTAACTATTCAGTTAACCTGCTTCCTAAGAATCACTGTATTTTCTTTCAACCTAGGCCAAGGGCTCTTAACAACATTTAGAAGTATAAAGGGTATGAACCAAAAAGTATCTGAGACAGATCTCAATCAATTTAGAAAGATTATTTTGCAAGGTTAAGAATGTGCCCATGACACAGCCTCAGGAGATCATGACCACATCTGCCCAAGGTAGTCTGGGTACAGCTTGGTTTCAAACACGTTAGGGAGACAGGAGAGACATGAGATGTCAATCAGTATGTGTAAAATGAACATTGGTTTGGTCTGGAAAGGCTGGACAACTCCAAGTGGGGGAAGGGGCTTCTTGGTCATAGGTAGATAAAGAGACAACTAGTTGCATTATTTTGAGTCTCTGATTAGCTTTTCACTGAATACACAATTTACATGTGAGAGGAGGATAAAAAAAAAGTCACTTACACCTTAGTCTGGCTTAGTGAAACAACAGGGCAGAGGAACTAATAACATACGCATTTGTCTCAGGAGAGCAGAGGGATGACTTTGAGTTGTGTCTGTCCTATGTCCACAAGGAATTTCCTTGTGGGCAAATCGTGAGGCAGGTATGTGGCTTTTTTTTTTAACTTTGTAGCTATCTTATTTAAGAATAAAATGTGAGGCAGGTTTGCCTGATGCAGTTCCCAGCTTGACTTTTCCCTCTGGCTTCGTGATTTTGGGGTTCTGAGATTTATTTTGCTTTCACATCTTTTAGAAAAAGCATTTTATAAGAAAATGAATGAGCCTCTGCTCTCAGGTTTTGTCTGCTCTCTCATGGCTAGGACAGTTTACTCCCAGAAAGGTAGGTGCCAGGTTATTAGGAAAGATCATTTTTAGGAGGTTGTAAAATCTCATATCCTATGAAGAGAAAATAGGATGAGGAAGAGAAAAAAACCAACAAAAAAGATGAAGAAGAATCCTGGAAAACTGATATAGGCCATATTACTCTGAAGTCCATACATCAATAGGCAGGTATGAAAGTGGTTTATGTATGTAAATAACTTGCTGTTATTTTCTTCTGAAGCTTACATTGTCTAGCTTCAGTTTGCAAGGCTTTAAGAAAGCACAGCTTCATTTTCAGGGATTTTAAAGCAAGAAAACAATGGAGGGAAAATAGGACAGGAAAGAAAGAAAGAAAAAAAAAAACAATTAAAAACATTACTTTGGAGACGTGTAGCCAGGAAAAATTTTAGAATTCAGTCCAAACTATAGAAAATAATAAAAATGGAAAAACATTAGATAAGACTAGAATCTAATAACAAGTGTAGTCTAGTTTATCTTGAAACATAATTTTTCTCTCTCTAGTCCTCATTTTCACTAAAGAAAAATCACAAGACAAATTTATGTGTAAAATAAGTGTTGGTCTTGCTATACTTGGCCTGAATATTTACATAAAGTCAGCAAAAACAAAAAACAAAAAACAAAAAAAAAACAAAAAAAAACATTTGCCATATAGGCTCTTTTCTTTTTAATTGGCTTTACTGGAACTTTATTTCACAAGGAATCTCAGATTAGACTTCAATGCTTTGAGCCCAGCCTGTGCCTGCAAATACCTGTATTGGGTGAATTCCTCACCTCAAGGGCCCAAGAAAACAGGGCTCCTGGGTCTGTCAGAAAGTGACATTCTTTACTTACTGCAGGTCAGGAACCTATACAGGGACTGTGTAGACAAGGTATAAGTCTAGCTTTCCCAAAGGGTTTTATTTGGCTCTACAAGTCAACCTCCATTCCTTAAAGCAATCTGGTTATATCTAAAAGCATGCCATTCCAATGAAAGGCCTGGTAAAATAACCAATGTCTCCAACTGTGTCCTATTACAAAGAAAAAGATTCTTATTGAACTTATGCAACTAACTATACTGCTATAAATTAAATATACTTGCAAATAGTTTTCAAATTCTGGAGAAATCAGGTAGAGAGATACATGCTTCAGATTTTGCTCACAGGAGTGTAGCTGACCCAATTATTAAAAGCTGTAAACAGCTCAAAAGAAAAAGGGTTTTCTGGATGCAGAAACAAAAGAATTAGCAACATTTCAAACAAAGTCATAAAAAAATTATTTCAGTCTTTCATTAGTCTATGTAATTAACTCATGTTCTGCTTGATGTTTATGAACACATTAGCTTTCTATGGGAGTATTGCAAGTTTTTCCTCTATTCTAGTGTCACAGTCTCCAAAGTCATCAGAAACCTGCATTCAAGAACAACTGTCAGAGTCCTATAGCTGATTATAAAAAACACCTTTTGAAAAGAATAAAAGTGAAACAACTAGATGAGGAAAGTCATGGTTAAAGACACAAATGACAAGGAACTGGATTATTTCTGTGGCATACAATGTTAGATCAGAATCACCATTACTACTAATAACATTCACTAAGACATATTAGAATCACAGGAATCTCATACAATTCTGGAACACATACTAATAACATAGTTATATAAATATAATCCAAAGAAGGTTAAACCCCATTTCATCTTTGACACTACTTCCTGTATGATTTTATTACATCAAATAAGCTGAATATGTCTCTTTTGGACTTCAAGGGATTTAATATCAAAAGATTAATGAGGACTAAAGTTAAAATTTAATTTTGGAAGTCTGTCAAATACAAAAAGTTTAGAACACTTCATATCACAAAATAGGATCGCAAGTTGTTGTAAAATAAGCCAATCATTTAGCCAAAGTGATAACTCAGTGATTTTTTAAAAAAAAGCAAAAACCTTTACTGAGAGAGATTTAACTTCCCAAACAACAAGCCCTAATAAAGACAGCGTGAGGCTAATTAAATGTGTCTTTTAAAATTCTGTAAGTAAATTTATTAAATTTTAATTATCTTGACCGTAAGATATAATTTCCATAAACCTTTTTATAACTTTTATAACCTTTTATTAAGGAGTGAGTTAATGGTCCAAAAAAATCGTGTTCATCTGACACAGGGGCTCATATGCTAGTCTTGCATCAGTGTCATTTGGTATTAACGGTTAATTTATAGAGAAACTGAACTAATTTTCTCTCTCAACATCGGCTCTTACAATCTCATGCCCACCTCTTCCACAATAGTCTGTGGGTCTTGAGGAGTTGGATAGTTTTAATTTCTGGCCCTGTGTCTTACAAACACAGTTTATTTTGGTTGGCATCTTCTACCAGATCTGAAGATGAGGTTTTAACTGCTGTCAGGGTTTAAGGCTGAAGAGGACTTGGTGTCCTGTTTAGACCCAGAAGTCAAAACTCTGTAACTTAATGACACAAGGACTTTAAAAGCAAAATACAGAAAGTTATATGAATGTGATAACTTTAATTTGAAAAAATTTTTAATCTCAGTTTTTTCTAAGCAAACCAAAACTTAATAACAATGGTATAGGAATTATTTCAATAAAATATAAAATGTGTTTGTTAGGCCAGTTACAAAACGGCAAAAGAAAAGATCTTCTGCAGTGCCACTGCCATTCCCTGTGGGATGTCCATTTATTATCAATAACCTGAAAGTCAAACTAATAAAAAGGGTACTTCAATTAGACATAGAAAGAGTGTTTCTTAGGTAAGAAGTGAAAAATTTTAGATTCATAGAACCATCTAAAGCCAAGAGCACAGACTGATACGCTGGAGAAGACATTTTCTTTAGGCTTTTAGGATAAAACATTTTTAGCATGAGGCCACAACAAACAAATAGCACCTGAGGAATAAAACTTACGGGAGCCAAAAGTGAGTTGAAGGAGATATTTAACCTTTTCAGGGCTTTTAAAAGGGGAGAGAAAGCTGAAATAGCAAGACACAATAAAAGTTAAACTTTGGGTTAAAAAAAGTAAAATGTCTTGTAATTTTGTTAAGGGTAAATCAATACCTTAAGAAAGTTTCATTGTACTACCCAATTCTTTAGTGCACAAGTGTTTTTTAAAAATATCAAAATGCAATCTCTAGAAAGACCATTATAAATAATTTCTCTTTAATTACAGACAACTTGATCATATAAAGTTTTTCTTCCCCCATAAAACTTTATTTTTACAAATTTTATTATGACTTACACAGACCATTCATGGCATACTTGGACTTTCTGGCTTGTCCTGAACATCATTCTTTCTTAACCAGTCATTTTATTCTAGGACAAAAATTTACCATACAAGATTCTTTCTCATATAAAATTATTTTCCTTTTTAACCCTTCTTGCCAAAAATACCTTTTTATATTTATAATTTTTTTAACAATGCTTGTATATACTGGTTACCATTACCTTGTTTTATCAATAACTTTTAAATAAACTTTGAATTAGACAAAAATTATTTTCCTTTAAATAATACATTTCTTTCTTAGAAAAACATTTTTCTATAATTTATTTAAAAATTAGAAATGACCCAGACATTCAATGAATACGTATTATTTAACTTTAGATTTTAAATTATATGATAAGTTTATTTGTAGGCATTTATTCCACTACATTTATCTAATTAATTGTTTTTTCACCCAGATTACTTATTAAAACTGTGATAGTTATTATTAAAAATGTTAACCATTTTGTAACCAGTGGAGTTCAGGTTTTCCTAAGAACCTTAACATTAGATAATTTTTGTTTGTTTTTGCCAATAACTCAGGATTTAGCTGTTTTCATTTACTGAACAATATTG